GTACTAAAAAAACTTTGTTTCAGCTCATCTTTTTTGCCTCTTTTCTTTGGGGTCGTCCCTTTATTTCCTAGTACCTATAAAAAAATAATACCTTTAGGTTCCTCAGTAACACAGGTACCAGGAAACATAAGTACTATGAAACATAGGTACTAGAGAACATAGGTTTTGGAAAACATAAGTACTGTAAAACTTAAGTGCTAGGAAACAAATGTACCAGAAGTGTACTTGGGAATATAGATACTGGGAAATTTAAATTCTGGAAAACTGAAGTACTGGTGAACATAGGTACTGAGAAAGAAGTACTAGGGAACTTAAATACCAGGAAAATATTTTTCTTGTATTTTCTTGTATTTTCTTTTTATTGTACATAGAATTTTGTTTTATGTTTTATGAAATGAATAAAGTTTATAAATCAAAATGAAAAAATAAATACCAGTGAGTATGTAGATACTGGGAAACATGGGTACTGAGAAACATCACAATAGGTACTTGAAAACAGTACCAGGGAACATACTGTAGGTACTCGGGAAATGTAGGTACTGGGAACCATAGGTATTGGAAAACAAATACTGAGAAACATTGGTACTGGCAAAAATGTTGAAAACAGGTACTGAGGAACATACYGTAGGTACTGGAAAATATAAGTACTGGCAAACAAAAGGTCATGTGTACACTTTCTTTATTAGTTCTGTCCATTATGTAAATGTTGTTATAGAGTAAAAGTCTTCCTACACCATTATAATTTTCATTTTTAAAAGCAAAAGTTTTCTAGTTTCTGGGTTTTTGCAGCCAACATCAGCTTTGAATCTTTTTGCCTTTGCTGTCCTGGCATCAGGTCCTCGGTGAGGTGACGCCGTCACACCTGTGCTTGTTGTTTAGAGTTTCTTCACAGGGAAAATGACCTTTGTTTTGTCCACTGCACCTGTGCATGCTTTGAAGTCCATTATTGGTCTTTTGTCTTCAGAATGCCATCGTTGCACTGACTCAGAGTAAAAAACAGGGATGCTTTTGTACAAGACATTTAATTGTGTTTTAAGGTTTATTTACTTTTACCAAAATTAATTTGAAGTAATGTTGATTTTTTTTGTTTTGTTTTGTTTTGGATAACTTACCAGTTGGCAGAATTTTTTTAAAATCAGGTGACCCCTGGAAAATATACTGTTTTTATAATGTAATTTTATTAATTCGAGGCTGTTTTTTTAAACACATTTAAAATCTTRGACTTTACAGAGATTGCAAATATTTCTGTTGGGTTTTATTAACCTGTCTATATTAAATCATTTTTGCTGTTTTTATTTTATTTTTTTTATTTGTTCTTACAGAAGGACTGGATTTTCTGTCTCAGCCGGCAGGCTGTTGTCAAGTTGCCCGTTGGCTCTTTTTTCAGTTTCATCTGATGAGAAAATACGAAAAGAAAAATGAAAGATGACATTTTATGYGCCCACAATACACAGAAAATAACACCGTTCCCAGCCAGCAGTTAACTTAGACTTTTTTTTAATTCCAGTGTGGATTTGTCTCCTMGTGTTTTCATCATACATTCAAACGCATCATATTTCACATTTTTTATATAAGTGAGCCTACTGTTTGCAGACAAAAACAGCTCAAAGAAAGTATTAAAGTAAAAATATTAAAGAAAGTAGTAAGATGAACCATGATTTTGCAGTAAATGTACTCACATGTTRCTTAGTCATGCTTACCTGATTAAAAGTGGTGAGGGACACCTGCTGGTTGTCGTCTATGGGATCTCTTCTTCACATATAGCTGATAATAAACACTCTTTAACCAGCTCGTATCGTATCACATTTCACAGAATTTTGTTTTGTTCTTTCTCTTCTGTTGTGGTTCTTTATTTACTTGGTAAACATCAGCTCCTGTTTTCTCTCAGCTTGGTTTGCTCTCTGCTCTCTACACACCAGGCTGCAGTTTTTTAAATGATCACACCTGCTGTGTTCGTTGTCTCCCTCAGTTGTTCAGGTAGTCCCAGGCTTTCAGCCCATCTTTGTCTTCCTCATAGATGTTACACTTCCAGGTGGAGTGTAATCATTTTTGAGCTAAAATAACCACACACAACAGACAACTGTGTAAAGGTTTGTAAAATAGCATTGAATGATTAACTAGACATGGGTTTTTACGATGTAAAAATGAGTGTGCATTGCCATGTAGCATGTCATTGCAATGTGGCTTTGCCTGCAGCAGTGGACTTACAGAATGAACTGTGACCAAGTTCAAATGTGTTTTCTAAACCAGCTTGTGCCTGTCACGTCAGCAGGTGTTTGTAATTAAGGTAATTGTGTGACAATATGAAGTTTGTGATCTCCCACATGAAAGCCCATGGCGCTAACCATGAGATCATTGGAGTTGTGGCGGAGAGTTCTGCCAGGTGTTGGTTTGTTTGTGTGCAGAAAGAGGCCACATTGCCAATGCAATTGTTGACACTAAACTGCTATAACAGCAATAGAGCAATATTAGGACAATATTATAGTAAAACATCAAAATACAATCATATTAGTATTGTAACCACTGAACTATTGAGATTAAATATCATTAAACTGTGGCTCAGTACTGAGTAGATACAGCGGGGGGCAGTATTGGACCAATACAAGGCTCTATTGACTCCCATTATAAATGATTAAACATTAATATTTCAAAAACTGTAAGTTGTACAGGCACCAAAAGGCATAGCCATCATTTGGCACAGGAGCTTTACAGATATAAATTACHATGGCAGCTCTAGGACAAAGTAAGCAGGAGGAGAAGCGTGCCAAAGTGGAGATGACTTGGATGGGAAATGAATCACAATAGTGAGCATTGCACTAGCAATGCACACTGATTATGTGGTTTTTAGATTTATATTGGTTTTAAACAGCAGCAATCCACTTTGACCTTGGTCACAGTTGGACTAGCTCTCAAAGGAGTACCTAACTGTGTTGCAACAGTTGSAGACCAGTTTGCCACTCAAAATTGTGAGGAAATAAATGGATTTTATGTTGCTGTCCAAGATTTTGTGACCAAGCAACTAGGTATGTTCACAAACGGGGGTCAGCCCTTTGTTTCCCRTTATCTRTGTTCCCTGGTACCTATGTTGGTCCATGGTTAGCTATGAAAGTCATGAAAGATGCTTGGCTGCCCCAAATAAATTGCATTATAGTGCAAACATTTTACTGGGGAACATAGGTGCCAGAAAACACAGGTACCGGGAAATATAGTTACTGGGGAATATAGGTACTCCACATTTAAAAAAATCTGAACAATTCTTGGAACCACTTTACAATAAGGCTCCCCTTATAAATGGTTTATATATAGTTATTAATTCATCTGTAAACACTTTACAAATCGTTAAAAAGTGTTTATTATTCATTAATTAAGGACAGGAAAGAGACAAAACTGTCTTGCCAAATAGTGAGCCAAATGTGTTCATGTATATATAACATCTAAAGGTGCTTATTAAACATTTCAGACTAGTTTACTACCTTGTAAGCATAATAATTTATTGAAAACACATATTTTACATATGACATTGTACTGTATTGCTGCATTATACATATCCACAGTAATCGAAGGGAGCCTTATTGTAAAGTGTTGAACAGTATAATAATAATAATGTCATAACAAAGCCTTATAAACTGTTTTACACTTTACAATAAGGCTCCTTTATGGCATTTATACAAGTTTATTAGTCATTAATAAATAGTGTACCTACTGTCGTATGTTTAACAATAAGGCTCACTTTGACAGTTGTTAATATGTATAAGTAATATTATTTTTTAAATATGTGTTTCCAATACATAATTGTGCTTTTAACCCAGTAATATGGACACAAACAGATTTGGCTCACTATTTGGCAAGAAACCGGACAGTTTTGTCTCTTTGCTGTCCTTAATTAATCCATAATAAACATTTATTAATGATTTATTAAGTGTTTACAGATTAATTAATAACCTATCTATAAACTATTCATAAGCCATCTATAAGGGGAGCCTTATTGTAAAGTGGTACCCAATTCTTTAAGCGGTTACATCAAATTTAATCTAAGAAAAACCAAACAAAAGAGCTCATCAGGTGCATAATAGGCAACTTACAGTTTATTTGTTGTTGTTGATTTTAGGTGACATATGAGGGATTTCTGGAGACTCAACTAACATTCTCCACCAAACGAGGAGTCTCCATTGTGCAAAAAAGTGACAAAATGCAGTTTTAAAGGGCCGTTTGTCTGAAGTCGGTCAGCTGTAAACAGCAAGTCATGGCTTCGAGTAGTTCTACTGTAAAACACTTGTCGTTCGGGGAAGAATTCCTCATTGGTTTAAACTAGTTTGCATCCATTGAAACGTATGATTTTTTTTCTTATATTGTTGTCATACAGTATTTACAGAGTACAGGATAAATTAACGGCAGATAAAGTTTATACATGCGTAGATATAGTTCTGAAAAACAAATATTGAAAGCTTTATACTGTACATACAGTAAGGCATGGAATATATACAGAACTAACCTAAAGGTTATTAGTATCAAACATCATTTAAATATTCACACAGCAACAAAACAAAGAATCCAAAACTGTTTATAGTATGTACAAAAATACTTATGCAAATGCCCCTAGGAATATTTGAATAGAAAAAATAATAGGAATCTCATCAGGAGGACATCACATTATATCTGAAACATGCACTTTCCGCAGAAGGTTTCCAAGTCCAGCGGTGGGCCWCGTGTCTGTGTTGACTGATTTTCAGGGTGAGTGTAAATCACTGAGAAAAAGTGGTTCTATGTGAAGGATTACTTGGTCTACTGTGCTCCTTGGTCCTCGTAGTGGGGTCTTCCCCTGCAGGTACAGTACATAAAACCAGCGAGCACGGCACTCGCTACACTTTGGACTCGCTCTCCAAGTTGGCAATATCCCCATTCCTCTCTGCCGTCTGTGCCTTGTCCTCATTGTCCACCTTGGTTTTTGTCTCCTGGCCCTCCTGTTCGGACTCCGGCAGCCCTTGCTGGCTCAGCTTGCTGGCCAGTGACCAGGTGAGGGGTAGACGGGCACGGTTGGCCATGTCTGAGAGCTCTTTGGCACTGCAGGTGGGTGTGTTTGTCTCGTAGACTTCGTGGAAACTGTTGTAGTCCACCTCGTAGAAGCCGTCCTCCAGCGTCAGGACAGGCATGAAGCGGTAGCCCCATTTGATCTCACTGCTGATGTAGGAGCTCCTGGCCTGGCAGGTCATCCCTGGAGAGACAACATGAAGGATTAAAAGCTGCAGGAGCTGCCAGGGCTTTKTATCAAAACAATCACCCCGTTCCAAATTCTTCCTTTGGTACAAATTTACGAAAAATCAGGAGCTAACATAATCCTGCAGCACTCGTGACTTTGGTGTGCTGTTTTTAAAGTTACACAGCCAAAAATTACCACCAATATTTTTGTTTTATTTAGCCTTTTTATTAGAAAAAAAGAACAGATTTATTTTTCAAAGTCAGTTTTTCACCATATGATTCATACATTTATAAATGTCATAGTTTATAAACTAAATATTTAAC